ATTTATCATATAAATGGTAAAAATATTTTCATAGGAAGAGTGATGAAAATAACTTTTGTTTTAGAAAATAATTTAGATATTAGTATGAACTGTGCTTAGAATAGGAAGTGTCCAGAAGCAGGGAAGTTATTTATTAAACTTCAAACAGTTGTCTTGCACTTAATTTATGAGGAAATGAATTAGAGACAGCACTAAGCAATGTTTCTTACACTCCTTTATACTTTGAAAAAAAATGGATATTAATACACAGTGACTTCAAGTTTTTTTTCTCTCTTGGATTGTTAATGACATATTAAATTGAAAGTGTGCCCATTGGCTTGCTGCTGGCAATGGTGATGAAGTTGCTTCAGATGAACCTTCTCTCTAAGAGAATTGAAAAATGTGGGATATATCAGTCACAAGACATTGAATAAGTACTAAGGAAGAAGACACTTAGATCCAAGATACTGAAGAAAACTGAGGCATGGAGAGGTGACTTGAATATTTGATCCTCCTTTTCTCCTCTGTGCATTTCCAATTCTTAAAGCAATTACTGAGAGCCTGGGAAGCTAAAATTGAAAGAGTTAAAGAGTCTGAAAAGACACAAACTAAAATTAGGCAATGTTCAGAGGTTTAGAGCTCTGAAACTCCTGTGGTGTTTGGGAAGCTCAAAGCACTAAATAAAACTAAGAAAAAACTGGGTAAAATATGCTTGTAGAGAGTGAAACTTCAAATCTTTCGAATCTTGTTAGAATGGACATGGTTGGTATAGCTTGTGGTTTTTATTAAATATCTATAAAAGCAAATATAATTCCTCTCTGTAGAAAAATGGCATTAACCAAAGCATCATTATAGTTATAGTTTTACATAAAGAGTGGCTAACATTTATCAAGCATGTGAGAAATCCAAAATGTATAGAATATATGATTAATAGAAACAGAGCAATAGTAGATCTAGATTATGGCGTTATCACACATAAACTTTAAAATAACCATGTTTCGTTATGGCAAGTAGTAGAGGTAAAGAGGGAACTTTTAAATTATAAAAATCTATTAAGTAACAAAACTTACAATTGATATAATTAAAGGGTGAAATACAAATAGCTAAAATTATAGTGATTTAATTACATCTCTCTGAGTAATTGATAGAATGCACAGACAACAAATCAATTGTCAATAACTACAGAGTACATGATCTTTTAAAAATGCACAGAAGTGCATAGTAGTAGAATTAAACCAGAAATTAAAAAACAAAATGTAATTTTAAAATAGCCACATTTTTCAAAAGTAAGCAACATATATCAAAATGACCCTTTGATCATATTAAAATATCAAAATGTCAAACAACTGGGATGTAATTAAAATATACTGTATCAAAATTACTGAAATGTACCTATAGTTGTGTGTATAGAAAAAATTATAGCCCTGAGTACACACGTGAGAAAATTAGATAAGCTAATCATAAAGCTTTAAGGATCCATTTCAAGAAGTTTAGCCCACCAAATTAAATGTAAATAAGCAGAAGTAGGAATCATAAAGATAAGCATAAAATAAATAAAATTAGGAAAAAAACTAAGAAGAAAAAATTGAGAGCACAATAATTGGCGTTTTGAAAAATATAAAATTGACAAATCCTAAGATTAATAAAAATTTCAAAAAGAACATATACTTTCAATAACATAAATGAAAAAAGAGCTATTAATACAGATCCTACACATAGTAGGAAATTTATAAAAAGTTATTAACAAATTTATGTCTATAAAATTACAATTTTAGATGAAGAAAAAATTGAAAAAATATAGTTTAAAGAAATTTAATCTATATATAAAATTACTCTTGCAAAAATAACTCAAGACTTGGAATCTTCACTTGATAACTCTAGAAACTTTTAGGGAATAAAATAACATGTATGTACAAATGCTTTCAGAGAAAATAAAATGTTGAAATAATTCTCAAATAATTTTGTAAAATCTATGTTGTTTTGACACCCACAAGTGACACAGAAATTGCAGGAAAAAATATCAAGGGACACACTCTCTCTCATGTACATAATTAATATTCTAAGTACTGTATTAGCAATTTTTTCCAGCAATTTATTTAAAGGGATATTATAGTTAACACTAAGTTGAGTTTATCCAAAGAAGCAAAGTTTAATTACTATTCAAAACCAGTCAGTGTAATTCAAGAAATTACCAGAATAAAGGAGAAAAAAATATTTAGATATTTGTGGAGATAGACTTTAGTTGAAGCTGGCCTGCAAAAGCTCTCTCATTATCTTCGGTGATGCCTGGTTGTCTGAATTTTGATTCCTGGCCAAGATAAGGGTACTATGTTTCAGATGTCTTATTTTAAGGCCCAAACACTCCTGAGGATCCCCAAAGTTAGTTTCTTTATGGAGGCTTTGCACCTGGCCTTACAGGTTTGGGAACGAGCTTGACTACTTCGAGCCTTTGAATTTTTTTTTGGTGAGCTTTCCCTAAGTCAATGTTCCCTCTGTAGAACTTGGTGTTTCAAGCCAGTGGCACAGTACAGTCTGCATGTGCAGACTTGGACACAAAGGAAGCTTGAACTAATGGAATATCTTTTGGATCTCTGATACTTGTTAGAGTTCTCTTTTCTCTTACTGCAATATATCTTTGTTGTTTAGTAAAAGCCTTAAGCAAATGTGCACTATGAAGTCTAGTGAGTCCTTTCAAATACTCAAGCAGGATAAAACAATATAACATTTCAGAACATGTTGGAACTCTAATAAACCTCAATCTTTTTCATAATAAATTTAAAAACTTCCTAGCAAATTGAAAGTAGAAAGAAGCTTCCCTAATTACATAAAAAGTGTCCCCAGGAAAGAAACTTAAACAGGCATATTTTAATTATTAAATACTAAAATATTTATTCTGGTCATTGAAAATAAACAACAGTGTCCCAAATCATCAGTTGTACTAAACATAGCATTGCTGATACTAGCCAAGGTAAAAAAAAGAAAACATTTGAGAATTAAAAGGGAAGGGAAAGAAGAATTTTATTTGACATTATTCTCAGATAACCTGCTGAAGTAGTGATACAATTAGGAAGAATGCTTAAATTAAAATATTAAAATATTAAAAGAAAAAGTAAATTTAGTGAGATAACTGGATATAAAATCAATACAAAGCAATCTTATTTGTCTATATACCAAACCAAAATAATTATTTAAAAATATAAAAGTAACACCATTTACAACAACATCAAAAACACGTAGGATTTAATATATCAAAAATATGCAAGACACCTTACCCCAAAAATAAGATATTAACAGGAACATGCATACCTAAATAAATATACTATGTTTATAAAAGTCATTGTAGTAGTTTATATTGTGAGGATTTTAATTCTTTTCAAATGTATCTATATTTCCAATAAATCTGAAAACAAAATCCCAGGAGGTATGTGCATTTGTGTGTTTGTGAAAGTTAACAAAATAATACTAGAATTTATATGGAAACACAAGAATTAATAATTACAAAAACTTATAATGAAGTGGAAAACCAAAGCTGGCATACCTACTCTATGTCAAGATATACTAAAACTTTGTATAAGTTAAGACCATAGGGTATTTGCAAAAAGATGGAGACATAGTAAAGGACTAGATGAAATGTATAAAATCATTCTCACATATATAAAAGAGATAATTTGCAAAGTTGGAACGGCACATCAGTAAGGAAAGATAAATGCTTATTTTCTTTTTTAAAATGACCCTGTAATAATGCAAAATGCCTTAATTGAATTCCCACTTTGCCATATACACAAAAGTCAATTCCAATTTGGTTAAGAAGTGAATTTATGAAAGTCAGAAAACCCAGTCATTATTAAAAGCCAACTTTGTTTTTATATACTAGCAACAAGCAAGAGAGAATGAGTTAAAAAAAATACTACTGAAAAAAGCATCAAAAATGAACATGCATAAATTTAGTAAGTGATGTACAACTACAAAATATTGAAATCATGAAACATTGCCAAGAGAAATTTAGAATGCTTAAATAAATGGAGAAATATGCCATACAGTTCTCACCAAATTAATATATATTCAACAAAGCACTAATCAAAAATCCCAGCAGCTGATTTTGGTAAATTTTGGCAACTGAGCCTAATATCTATGTAGAAATGTAAGGTCCTAGACTAGCCAAAACAATATAAAAAAAAGTTGTAGAAGTTTACATGATTTCAAGACTTACCATAAAGATTTAGTAGTCGAACACAGTGTGCTATTGGTAAAAGCGCCAGAAAAGATACATCATCAGGACAGAGTAGAGAGTTCAGAAACAGGACAAAAGCATCAAGATATATCAAGCTGGTAAGGAAAGTTTTTCAATAAATGGTGGTAGAACAACTGGATATCCATATGGATCATATAAACATTAATCCCCCCCACACACACAAAGCACAAATATATATTAGAGATGTATTACAGAACTAAACATAAAATCTAACACTAAAAAGCCAAGAGCACATGAGAATATCATATGTTCTCACATATGCGGTATGCAAAGATTTCTTAGTCGAAATACAAAAAGATCTAATCATGAGATAAGAGTTTGATAAACCTGTGCTTATCAATATTTAAGTTACCTATTCTTGTTTAAATTGAAGTACAGTTGATATATGCAATATTATATTGGCCTCAGGTGAATAACAGTGATTCAACAATTATGTACATTATGAAATGCTCTCCATGATAATTACAGTTACCATCTATCACCATACATATTGCATATCATGGACTGTATTCACTATGCTTTGACTTTTCATCCCTGTGACTTACTCATTTTATAATTGGAAGCTTCTAATTCTTTGTCCCTTCCCCTGATCTCCTCATCACTCCTCTCTCCTATGGCAACTTCTAGTTTATTCTCTGTATTTATGAGTCTGACTCTGTTTTGTTTGTTTGTTTGTTGATTTATTTGATTAAATATCACATGTAAGTGACATTATATGGCATTTGTCTTTCTCTGTCTGACTTATTTTACCTATCATAATACCCTCCAGGTCCATCCCTGCAGATGCAAATCATCATAGAAATGCGAATCAAGAGAGAACCAAAATTGTGGCATGAGTAGAGCAGCAGAAATCTCCTCCCAAAACCATATATATTTTTGAAAATACAACAATACAACTAATCCTAAAAGAGAGACCAGAAGACACAGGATAACAGCCAGACTACATCCATACCTGTGAGAACCCAGTGCCTCGTGAAAAGGGTAAGATACAAGCCCCAGCCGAGCGGGACCCGAGCAGCCCTCACCCCAGCTCCCGGAGGGAGGAGAGGAGTCGGAGCAGGGAGGGAGAGGGAGCTCAGGACTGCTGAACACCCAACCCTAGCCATCCACACCAGAGCACAGACACACAGTGCTTGCATGGGGTGCTGGAAACTAGGGAAACAGCACAGTAAGACCTGTGAGCAGGTCCCCGTGGCTGGCACCCCTGAGATAAAGAAAAGTGAGTGCTTTTTGAAAGTCTTAAAGAGACAGGGACCCCACAGCTGGACAGAAGTGCCCCAGAGCACATAGCCCAGCAACTGGGAATCACAGGGAACTCTGGGAACCCGACCTCCGCAGCACAGCATGGAGACCCCTCACTGCAATAAACAGCCTCCCACCTGTTCCCCCTCTGACACAGCTCCGCCATATTGGAGAAGCAGCCTGAGGCAGGCCACACCTACAGCAACTGCAGCACTAAACTCCATTAGCCGATGGGCAAGATCAGAAGCCCTGTCTGCACGCAGATGCACAGCACAAGCCGCTAGAGGCTGCTGTTCTCCCAGGAGAGGAAGGCCACAAACTGGCAAAAAGGGACTTTCTCTTACCCAACACATACGCCAGCTCCCCACAAATATATCTATCACCATGAAAAGGCAGAAGAAATTGATACAGACCAAGATCACAGAGGCAAACCCTGAGAAGGAGATAGACCTAACCAGTCTTCCTGAAAAAGAATTAAAAATAAAGCTCATAAACATGATGATGGAGCTGCAGAGAAATATGCAAGAGCTAAGGGATGATGTCTAGAAGGAGATTACAGAAACAAAACAATCTCTGGAAGGATTTATAAACAGAACGGATAAGATGCAAGAGGACATTGATGGAATAGAAACCAGAGAACAGGAACGCACAGAAGCTGACACAGAGAGAGATAAAAGGATCTCCAGGAATGAAACAATATTAAGAGAACTGTGTGACCAATCCAAAAGGAACAATATCCGCATTATAGGGGTACCAGAAGAAGAAGAGAGAGAGAAAGGGATAGAAACTGTATTTGAAGAAATAATTGCTGAAAACTTCCCCAAACTTGGGGAGGAAATAATCGATCAGACCATGGAAGTGTTCAGAACTCCCAACAGAAAGGACCAAGAAGGACAACACCAAGACACATAATCTAAATGGCAAAGATCAAGGACAAGGAAAGAGTTTTAAAGGCAGCTAGAGAGAGGAAAAGGACACCTACAAAGGAAAACCCATCAGGCTATCATCAGACTTCTCAACAGAAACAATACAGGCCAGAAGAGAATGGCATGATGTATTTAATGCAATGAAAGAGAAGGACCTTGAACCAAGAATACTGTATCCAGCACGACTATCATTTACATATGAAGGAGGGATTAAACAATTCCCAGACAAGCAAAAGTTGAGGGAATTTGCCTCCCACAAACCACCTCTACAGGGTATTTTACAAAGACTGCTCTAGACGGGAGCACTCCTAAGACTAAGCAGATGTCACCAGAGAAAATAAAATCACAGCAAAGAAAGCAGACCAACCAAATACTAACTAAAGGCAAAAAAATAAAATCAACTACCCACAAAAGCAGTTAAAGGAAGCACAAAAGAGCACAGAATTAAACACCCAACATATAAAGAATGGAGGAGGAGGAATAAGAAGGGAGAAAAATAAAGAATCACCAGACAGTGTTTATAATAGCTCAATAAGCGAGTTAAGTTAGACAGTAAGATACTAAAGAAGCTAACCTTGAACCTTTGGCAACCACGAATCTAAAGCCTGAAATGGCAATAAGTACATATCTTTCAATAATCAGCCTAAATGTAAATGGACTGAATGCACCAATCAAAAGACACAGAATGATAGAATGGATAAAAAAGCAAGACCCATCTTTATGCTGCTTACAAGAGACTCACCTCAAACCCAAAGACTATAGGAACAAATAAAGACTGAAGGAACAAAACAGCAGCAGAATCACAGAACCTAAGAATGGAGTAACAGTTACCAAAGGGAAAGGGACTGGGGAGGTTGGGTGGGAAGGGAGGGATAAGGGTGGGGAAGAAGAAAGGGAACATTACGATTAGCATGTATAATGTGGGGGTGGCATGGGGAGGGCTGTGCAACACAGAGAAGACAAGTAGTGATTCTACAGCATCTTACTATGCTGATGGACAGTACTGTAATGGGGTTTGTTGGGGGATTTGGTGAAGGGGGGACCCTAGTAAACATAATATTCTTCATGTAATTGTAGATTAATGACAACAAAATAAATTAATTAAAAAAAAAAGAAACGCGAATCAAAACCACAGTGAGATATCATCTTACACCAGTTAGAATGACTAGTATCAAAAAGACAAGAAATAGGAAGTGTTGGTAAGGAAATGAAGAAAAGGAAGCCCTTGTGCCCTCTTGCTGGGAATAGAAATTGGCACAACCAAAACAGACATCATGGAGGTTCTTCAAAAAGTTAAAAATAGAAATGCAATATGATCCAGTAATTCCACTTCTGCATGTTTATCCAAAGAAAACAAACTTACTAATTCTAAATGGTATGTGCACCCTTATGTTTATTGCAGCTTTCTTTATAATAATAAAGATATGGAAGCAACCTAAGTAGCAACTCAAGATGAATGAGTAAAGAAACTGATGTACATATATAAAATGCAATAGTACTAAGAAAGACAAAAAAAATCTATTAAGATAAATCATTTAGAAAATTTTATATCTGACAAAGAACTTGTGTCTACATATATAAGAAAATCTTAAAGTCAAAATCATCACACATAAATATATGGACAAATGTCTTAGAAATTTTTATATAAAAAAATTTCACAAATTGCCCATAATCACCTGTAGATGCTCAAGATCATTAGTCATCAGGAGAATGAAAATTTAAATTCTGAAATATGCTATTTCATACCCAGAGGAAAGTTCATATCTCTTATGTTTTATAACTACATACTAGAAACAATAAAACAAATTCATCAATTGCATAAATTGTGATATACTCAAAGTAACCATGAATGAACTTTTAATTAGGTGACAGCATGGATGAGTCTTAAAAAAAAAAAGCATGACAAAGGAAATCATGGTATTTTCAGTGGAATAAGAAATAGAACTGTTTAAAAATGTAAACACACATGTATAATATATTTGAATCATTTGTGGTTATTTTCGTTTGCATTTGCTGGAAATTGAACAATACTAAGCATATGCTAAAAAAAATTAAAGAAGACAAGACCTAGTGGCTATGATTTCCAGTTTCAACTCAGAGACATAGAGAGAAGTCTATCACTTGTACACATCTTTACAAGACTGCAAAAGATATTTCAGAAGCAGTAATAATGTGAAAAATTCTTGGTATATTAGAATCTGTAATGGATGAAGCCAAGAAAAATATTGAGGAAACAGTTTAATACCATGCCAATATCCTACTACTAATCCTAATGTACAGTAGATTTAGCATCCATTGATGACTTCTGTCAATTCCATCTTTCCTAAGATGGTCAACTCATGCTAAATTTTCCCACTCCAGATACTTCTCCACTTACAAATCAGTAGCTTTCTGCTATAAGAAGAGGTCCCTATTCTCCTATATTCATCATAAGTACAGATTTGCATAAGTTCCTATTTTTTTCAATTTGGTGATCAAATTGTCCTAGGTTTGGCCAGTGGCATGTCCAGAAATCAAGGGTAAAAAAGCCTTATCACTGAGTTTGCTTAGAATAGCCAGCATACAAAAGGCATCCTCCTAGTGTCTGAACTGGCACACTGTCTCACCTCTCTGGTTATGCCATCAGTGACTGTGGTGGAAATTTGAAAGTGATTATCACGTGAGCACAAGCAATTGGTAAATCATGCAGAATTGATACTGTTCTTCCCTAAACTCCCAGAATTACTTGAGTGTCTCACAAATTTTTCAAAATCCATTTAACACCAAAGATTTAAAAAATTATTGATAAATACTAAGAGTGTCAAACAAATTATAGTGCAATAAGATACTTTCTACATAAATCCTTCAACACATCTGTATTGACACCAAACATGGAAAAGAGAATGCTGCACTGGAGAAGTGTGCGCTCTTGCGTGTGGCTCTGTTGGCTGTGGCTGTAGCTACCTACATATCCCACCAGCGTTGGCCAGAAAACTGAAAGAAAATAAGACTAAAAGGAAGCAATAATAAAATGATTCTATTTATAACCAATTATTTTAATCATATGTGCATATATTTGGAAAAATGACATGTTTTAAATGAATATATATTAATGTATGTGAATCTTTCTTAAAATGTATTAATAATGATAAGTAATACATCAGATGTATATAGAAAATAAAGAATTTCAGACACTGACTTGCATATAGCAAAATACTCTTTGTTTTACCATGCACAAATATTAGCTATGAGGATCTATTTTCTGAAAAGTAATGATGGACTCAGCATGTTTCTGTGTCCATATTATCAATACTTTTTAAAAAATTGTAATGAGAATAGTGTCCTTTAATTAATGACACTATTAGCAAGTTACAATCTAACCAACCTCATCATTTTTATTGGAAAGCAACTGATTATATCACTCTGTAATTACAGTGTAAAACTGCATGCCAATGATGGAATTTGATTCCTGGGATTCATATTGATACCACTTAACTTCAAAAATTTTAAATTATGAAATCAAAAATTTGCACACTATACTGTTTGGTTACCAGAGTTGATGCAGGCTGATAATTTTGAGAAGATGAAGGGAAAAATTATAAAGGAACTAAGACATTTTTGTGTAAAGTGAAAATATCTATGTGGCTTTCAGGAGAAACCATAAACATAAGGGTACAGAAGTGCTGCAAATAATATCTTATTGAAATAAGATAATTGTCAACACTAACAACAAATACTGGTATAGTTGCACTAAACATGCTAAAAGTTTTAGCTAGATCAGTGTTCATGTGTTTAATAGCATGGCCAAGTTCAGTCTAGTTTTGTATAGTTCAGAATATGCTTTTCATGGGATGTGATTTTTGCTGATGAACAAGATATTAGTAATCACCTGGTCTGTTCTCTTACCCCCTCCTTCTTCTGTACCTGTGCCATCAGTTCCTGTGATGCACACACCTGCTCCCTGAAGATTCTAACTCACTGACAAGTTACAGTAACCACTGTCTAAGTAAAAACTTAGAGGTTTTATACCAAAGATGCAGCCTTGAATAACCAAAGTGAATCCAGTGTTCCCAAAAGTCAAATTCCAAGGTAAGTAAGGGAGCCTTTCAGAATGGTTTGGATTATCTATTTTAAACAGCTGCTTAGTATTATGTTGGAAAACTAATTTTCTCTTCCTCTTTTCAGGAAATACACAATTTAAAACACAATACTATTTATATCCTAGCAGTGAAAAAAAAAATGCCTTTCAATTTCAAAAGTTAGATTCAATTCTTGTCAAATTATTCAGCTTGTTTTATTGAGCACATTGAACCATCTGATTGTTACAATGCCAGGTTCAATGACTAGAAAAATGCGTAAGTAAATATCTGTTCAAAGTTCAAAATGTAAGAGCCTCAGAGTTAAAACTGTAAAAGTTTTAGAATAAACAAAGGTGTAAATCTTTGTGACTCTGAATTAAGCAATGGTTTCATAGCTATAACACCAAAAGTGCAAACAACAAAAGAGAAAAGTAAAACATTGGGATTCATCAATTAAAAGCCTTATGTTTCAAAGAATATTATTAAGCAAGTAAGAAGACGTCAACAAAATGGGAGAAAATATTTGCAAATCATATACCTGTTCAGGGACTATTAACCAGAATATATAAAGAACTATTCCAACTCAAAAAGAGAAACAAAAATAACTGAAACAATCATGATCCAAGGATTTGTATTGATAGTTCTCCAAAGATATACACACATTTCTTCCACATACATTCCATACTCAAGAATTTATCTGCACAGTCATGCTTAACGCTAGAGGCCTGGAAAAGTTAGCCCCTGGTTGAGAAGCCACCACTCTATATAATACAAGGAGGAGCTCAGATTTTGGGGGAACATTTAGCCAGTTAGGTCTCAATAGCAATTGTTAATGATATCACACTGCCATCGACAAGGAAGAAAGTAGTAATGCCTTCAGAATCCATTCAGTCTCGAGGTCACCACAGTTTGGTGAAGCTGATCTTTGGCCCATCCATGTTCAGGCTAATATTCTATCCTTGAAGCCTGAAACTCTTCTCATCCTCTGCTCCCAGTGTCGTGGTGACACAGGGTTTCCTTTAGTATGTTATATGATATGTAAACCCAGAACAACAACAAAAAATGCTTTATATCATTTATACATGTCATTTCTCCTCTTGGCATCTCTGAGGTTAATGAATGAGACCTTATTTTCTGTAAATACTCTTCATGCTTCTGGAGCCAAAAAGGAAAGAAACTACTGGATTTATTGCTCTGAATCTACGCAGAGTTGAATGTCTTGTCATTAATTATACTTTTTGATTTTGTGGAGGGAAAAAAAGAAAAATCTGTTTTTTTGGGGAGATGGCAGGATCTTGGGGAAACAGGCCAGTTATTTGACAGTTACACAGCAGTATGATAAGTGGTATATGGATTCACCCAAACCAGTTTGAGTGGTTAGGTTAGTGGTTAGCTTCCAATAGCCTCACAGGGCTTGGCCACCTGCATAACATCCAGAGCAGCCCACTGTTGAGGGGCCAGTGCAGCACATGGGTTGCAGGAGTGAAGAACCATGATTTGCTCCCCTCAAATTCCTGTTCTACATAGAAAGAGGGAAATGAAGGTGACCAGGAAATGGAGGCATATACTCTACAGTAGTTTCCCTGGATTGTTGCAGGAACAAAGCCTGGAATACAGGGAATTTCTTCCATCACAACACATAATTATTGAAGTTAAAGTGATGTTCTGGAATATGTTTTTAGCATGAAATGAGCAAGTGTTGTAAAAGAATTACACCAGGCAAGATGAGTTCAGGCATTATTTTTCCAGATGCAACCACATTTATGCCTGTCCTCTGTGATCCTGTAAGCTCCTGGGCAATCTCTAACTTGAATTGTGAAATGATCTGACTACACATGTCTTACCCATTAGACTATCTTGATGAGGAACAGAGCAGTAACTTATTAACCCTTCGATTTTTACTAGATATTAGTACATAAGAATATCACTGTATATAGACCTGCATCAGTTACCTAATATTGTGGCTGGATCAAATTGCTGAAGTTAAAGGGAAAAAGATGAAAGATACAAAATAAACACCCTCCAGTTCAATATCTAAGACAAAATTATATAAGCAAAAAGTACCATACTTACATGATGTAGATAAATTTTTCAGATTATGCAGATTATCATATAATCTTTACTTGCATAGGTAAAGAGTTGCTCTGTGTTTATACAGAGAGACCTATTTTTAATTATTTCAAAGAATCTGAATGAAGAAAAAATAGACACAATGACTTACTTTCCTTAAAATTAAAAAAGCTTCACTGGCCAAAGCTAATTCCTAGAGACTCAAACATTATAGCTGCCAGTATTATATTTGGTACACTTTTAGATTGTCTATTATTCCATACATATAATATGTACTTTTCTATTTTAATCATTACATTCCAAATCATAAATTGTAAGAGTTATCTTATTTTGCATTTACATGTATGTTAGTTTTTTAAAGATCTAGTAATTCTTCCAATATTTGCATTCAAGCCTTAGGTCCAGCAAATAGTGCCTAATGCCGAGTTAGTTTATCATTTTGAACCACAGTTTCCCATTCTACAGAATTTGCACTAAAGTATGTAATATGTGAAAGTACTTTGCAACTTTAAATTACTGTTTGAAATGAAATAAAGTAAGGTATTTTCCATGGTTTTCAAATTTCTCATAATTTTTTATGCTGAAAAGATGAGGTATGTTTTCTTCAAATGTATTTTGTGCAGGATCTAGTGTCACCTAATTGTAAGAGCAGAACTACTTTCATGCATAGGTTTTTTTAACCAAATATCTAGTAAAACCTATAGTCATCACCAGCCACAAAAACAAGTAAGTACATATAAGGATTGGTAGATTGAATTTCATTAATGAAAGGGAGAGCATTAGAAAACATCAAAAATAAAAATCATAAAATTATTCAATAAAGTTATAAAACTTGTATACTATATATAACAGGATTTACTTTAGAGAATTTTTAGTTTTATTTTGTTTCATCTGTTATGTGTGTTATCACCACATAGCTATAGCACCCTCTTCTGGATCCAACTTTTCCCAGAGGTGGTCTCTTATTTATTTATTTGTCCCAAGAGAGAAAACAAGGAATCATCCTGTAGCTACAGAAAGAATAATAGTTCTGAAATCTTTTTTGAATAATAGAAATATTTGAAAATATACTGAGTCTACAAAAAAACCAAAGCTGCAAAATGCCTCAGCAAAAAAGTGGCATTTATTAAGAAACTTTCTTGATATAAAAAAAAACATGGTGTTAAAATTTTGAGGAAAGGTATTTATTACCCAAAATTAAACCAGTTTTATAACTCACAGGCTGCTTTAATCTGTCACAACAAGGAAGGATGATAATTATATAGTATAGGTAGTTAAAAGTGTGGTTTTAAAAACACTTATTTGAGTTAGAGGATGAATCCTGGAAACATAAAGTAGTCTCATGACCCATCCCATCCATTATATTTGGAATAGTAGTGCTAGACAGTTATATGACATAATAATAAAAATAGTCTCCTCAGTTAACAAATGTAAAAGTGTATTTTTCATCATCAAGATCACTAGCAGTTATTGAACATTTAGTGGAAACTTAACTTTGATGGGTTTAACCCTGTAGAGAACAAAATTTAAATACAGATGCTTTCCCAGAAGACAAGATAGTGTAGTCATTCATGTCAGATGGAGTGAATTTGTCTCACACAAGTGTTCTGTGAAAAATGAATTTTAGTTTTCAATCATTATATATCTAACAGGTATATACCTGCTACAGAGAGGAATAGAGATTTACATGTGTTCAATGTTAATATATCCAAGAATGATAGGAATTTATACTTTATAAAGCTGTTCAGTAATCTACAAAATATTAAGGTAAAAATTATTAAATCACTGAAAATCCAAACCACACATCTGGGCAATCCCATCACACACTGGACATCTTGCTCCTGGACACAGCAAACATGATCACCCCCAACAGTATATTCAGGCCTTTCTTGCCATACCTGACTCTGACATTACCCTGCACCCTGAATGTGGTTCTAATGTAAAGAAACTCTTGATCTCTGTTTTAGCTGTTCTATGAATCCTAGTAATGTCTTTAACCAATTGAGCTGCTCATGCTAGAAGCACATATCCTCCTGTCATCAATAGCATAGTAAAGGCTAAAATAAACATTGCCAACATCTGTAGAGTAGAAGGTACCAAGGCCTTGCTCTGAGTTTTAATTTGTGTTAGTAGATTAAACAATGAAAATCAGTGTATGAGTTACATATCATTGTTATCCTCATTTGATAGGAAAGAATAAAATACATAAAGCTTAAGATTCCTCCTAAGGATAGAAGCTACAATTCAGAATCCAAATCCAAGTAGTTTGATTCTCTATCCAGCAATGTTAATGCCTTATAGTCTCTCATTTAATCCTGTAGTAACATGACATGACAATGTCCCTTCATTTATCCTCAGTGTACCAGATCCCTAGACCCATTATACTCTTTCTAGATTGAAAAACAGTAAAATATCACATTTCTTTATCAAACAGAGGCACTCTCATAGGTGTAAATATATATGCTAATGTCCCCAAGGACAACTTCTTAAAGAACATGTCTACTAATGCATCCTTTAAGTTTTTAGTTGTTATTTTGTTTTTTTAATACTTATGTTTGCTGATTTTGTTGTACCAAAAAGATGTCCATCTTTCTGATAAAAATACAAATGCTTCCCAGTTCTCTTTCACAACTGACAGGTAAACTTAGCTGAATTTATGAATTAAGGAAAAGATCACTCTTCCTAGTATTTATCAAGTCCAATGGAAGAGTGGAAAATAGGCAAAATTTACTCCCCCTTCTCCATAAGCATGGGATCCCTCCTTATCTGTGCTGTTGCTCTGGCCTGGTATGTAAAAGATTGCAGTTTTTGTCACTGAGGGAGGGGAGGATTAGGAATAGCTAGTAGGGTAATCTATTCTAGAAAAGTAGTCTTCAAACATGATAAAGTGGGCAGTCCACACAAAGTAGTGTCATCATGGAGGTCAAGACTCAATAACAG